AGAGAGAGAGAGAGAGAGAGAGAGAGAGAGAGGGAGTGGGTATAAATGCATAGCAGTGGGACAGGTGAAGAAAGCATCAATCATAAAGCAATGGATTGCAAAATCATTGATTGATATCTCTGCTCTCTTTTTTTTTTAATAATAAAAATTAAATCATGTGCATGGGATTTTATATTTGTATATATTCTTTGTCTTTTTAACTGTATAACAATTCTATCATGACAACTCGTATGCTGTCACTCGTGTGTGTCTTGTTCATTTCCAACTCTTGTTTTTATTACACACTATACAACCCTTCTTTTTATACCATCTATATATATATTTTATATTCTATATTTTTCTAACAAACATAAAATAAAAACTTAGGGGAATATATGTAAAAGTACTGTTTTTTTTTTTTTTTTTTTTTTTTTTGTTTTTTTTTCCAAAGTTCATATCCCTTCCCCTTTCAATTTAATTAAAATTTTGTATTTTTATTAGATAAATTAAAACTTATCGGGAATAGTGTTGCCGACTTCGGTGAACGGTATGGATACAACATCATTAGCCTGTTGAAATTCACTGCTAATTTGAAAAAAAATGGTTATCAATAATTTCAAAAGTTTCATGTCAATGCAATAATTTCACTGCCAAATTTTAGAAATTCGATGCCTTTTGAGAAGTTATTGAACATATTTTACTAAAATACTCAATTTTTTAAAGTTCACTATCAATATTCATAAATTTACTGATATGTTTTGTTTAAATTCTGAACTTATAGAAGTTTATTGACAGTTTTCAAAATCCGCTACCAATTTTTTTAAATTGCCATAAGTTTACTATCATACTTTGTTAAAAATTTAAATTTCAGAAGTTCAGTGTCAATGTTTAGGGCGTCTCCAACCTTGTGAGGTAAAAACACAAATGTTCTATCTATTATTGGTGGGGAACAGTGTTTTAGCAAGTGAATTTTAATTTTGCACTCCAATCATTCCACCTATATTTATACCATTTATTATATTTAATTACTTCTCAATTTTTCTATTATAATAGGTATTTATAAATTATACAATCTGCCAAATAATTAATCATAAATAGAAATCAAAAAGTTATAATGTCAAATTCTCAATATTAATAAAAAATATTTAAATAATTAATTTCTAAATAAAATATTAGTAATAAAATATTAGTAATAAAATATTATAAGCATATATTAAGAATAAATATGTGGCACTTGGTAGCTGGAAGTTTCATTTCTTCTACAAACCAAAATTAATTTTTATACTTGGAAGTTTTCTTTTTTCCCACTGCTTTTGTTATTATTTTATTATTTTTTCATTTAGCTGGCGTGAACAGGAGCTGGTATACATAGCAGTTGCACAATTGATTTTAACTGACCAGCTAAAATTTAGC